ATTTGTTTATTTCTTCGTAAACGTCGACGGTAGATAGCTTACTGAGTTTATCAATAAGCGGTTGAAAAGGAGCTTGAGCTCGTGCGTATTTCTCAGCATCCGATAATACAATCATATCCGCTTGTTCATCTCTCCGTAGGCGCACGTATTCCACAGAGTGTTTACCTATTAGAGAAGAACCGGGCACTAATAGTGCTGCAGCCCTTTGGGGCGCCATAACAGGAGCTTGTCTTGCTTTCACCAAATTAATTACTCGCCGAAGGGGCTCCAAACCCTTTTCAAGAGAATCGTACATTTCGTCTGCTTTTTGTTTTTTAACAAAAGCCCACGCAATGCCAATTAACCCGCTTGTAATTGTTTTGAATCCGTGAGCTTTGCGAGCGACCTCATAAATTGTTGGCACAGCAGCGAGACTCTTGTAGAACCGACAGTTGCACGACCACGTGAGGTCGTCTACCTTTGCTTCTTGTTCAGGTAGCTGCACCTTCCAATCCGCTTGCGTTGGACAGACCTGCACACATTAAGCTTCTCCCTTGTTCACCATGAACACATCCCACTGTGCCGAAACGTTCGCGAGACTGTCGTTCGATAAGTGGGCTGCAACAAGATGCAAAAAAGACAGAACGGATCCAACTCTCCGGATCTGGCTTGAGAACTTGCGAAGAGATGTCAGCAAATGGTACACGACATTAACCTGGTTCTGTAATAAACGGGCAATTGTCCGATCAATTCTTGTCTTTCTGCCAAGAAGTCGTTTCAATTGATTCCAGTTGCTCTCGATTCTGTTTGTGGTCGTATTTCCAGCCGTAAAGTAGTTTGCACGCCCGTGGTTGAACCACATCTCACTATATCACTCCCAATTATCTTCGAAATACTTGAAAATCTTTGGGCAGGACTTCTGGCAGATGTCAGGACACTCGCCCTTACAAATTTCTTAAACCCGTCTCCTGATCGATTGAAAGCCTCTGTGGTCGTGCTGTACATCATCTGCTTCATTGAGACTTCGACCTCGTCCCTCTAAGATCCATTGAGGTCATACTTGGCGCGCTTTACGACCTTTTCCAGTTTGCCATAGTGTGGAACTGACACAATAGCACTGTTGCTTCAGGAAAGCATTTCTCCAGAACTCTCCACTCCTTAAAGTCCTTGTCAATCACAAAAGTCTCGACCGCGGACCACTGCGAGTTCTTTTGCTTGAAATACTCCAAGATCATCTCCATCGTCTTCATCTTTTCATCGAGTGCAATAAAATTCAGAACTGGTACACCACGACCTGTTACACTAGTGACGAGAAGGCTTCCTACAAACCAAACGGCAGGTCATAGCTTTACAAATACTGTATTACTAGAGATAAGGTTGCACCACCTTAGATAAGGGCGCAGCAATAAATAAGTACATACCAAGATGAAAACCCAAGTTGTTCGTTCCATACGTTCAATCCATACAGAACGTCTCGCCCCACTGCTCGAAAGCTAGCTTTTGCACAGCTGTCTGTATCACTGCTCCGCTCGTAATGTCATTTTGATCTCGAAGAAAGAGCACATCGTGATCACCGAAGCTCGCCAGTGTTTCCAGCACACTAGACAGCTTCTTATCCGCAGCCGTGCTCTTCAGAACCTTTGGCACTATGTTGCGTGTTTGCTGGGGCGTTACGTGCCTCTCCAAAGCCCCTGACAAAAAATGCTGAATGTGATGTGATCCAGTGCTGGCATCAGCAAGGACTCCGACTTGATCGTACACCAGACTATGTACTGGTATTGATCCAGCCCCGAAATAGCTGGCATAGATAGATGCATTCGTGCGATGATTGTGCGTCCATGTCTACACAAAAAAATATCGTTATCTACTCGATCATGCACCGACAATGGATAAGCTGCAATACAGACATGTTAATCTTACCCAGTTGCGTAGAACGATTCGCCACTTTTCAGCTTGCCCTGCTTCTGCGATATTCCGCGATGCAGCGCTGAACAGGGCCTTGCATCCAGTATAGCGACTTGGAGTACTCGTTGGCCTGTACCGCGGAACTTCTGCGGGCATCCGTGGGTGCATCGAAACACTTTGTAGCTGTAGTCCAACGTTACAGGTATTTGAAGATCACTCATGCTAAAAGATAATGCAGCAAATATGTTAGTATATGCTTCATAAAACTGGAGCAACAAGACGTACGAGTTGTGTTTTTTCACGGTCCGAGTGTCTCGGGCTCTAAATAACCGATAGTTATCACAGCTATACTTCTCCAGCTCGTCACTTAGCTCCGTCCACGACGAATCAACAAGCCTCTGCATTGGTGGGGTCTTATTCCCCACACTCACGCGAGATCTTTCCAAGGCAACGCGCTCTGGATATGATTCCGTGCGTCGGACCCGAGGCGTGCGATCAGTATTCCGGTCTTGGAGGTCCAGCCGCACGTTTTCGACATCCGCGTCTTCACGTTCCTCGTCTGTTGGCGGCAACGAATCAGTATCCGCCACGCTCCCGTCATCAGTGCCATAACTCTCCATGCCGGACTCGCGGCGCCTACGCTTATCAGATTTTCTCGCGCGACGGGATCCTCTTTTTCTTCCTTCTCGAGTCTTTTGGTCTGCCTTGAGAGCTGCATCAAATTTGTAAGCACCAATCAGTCAGTAATCGTGCCGTGGTCTTATCAATACGAATTCGAGCACCAACCCCTTCTTTTCCGTGCGCTACCTCTATCGTCTGTCCATACCATCGTTTAAAGCAATGTGTCAGCGTTTATAGGAAACTATGCAATTCAAAACAATAAACGCTCACCAATCTCGTTCAAAAGGTCCTGTAGCGTATCGCTCGAGTTGCTTGAATCCCTGGGAGGCTCGAAGTCGTCGTCTCCATCGTCATCTACGGAAGACGAACCGGGGGTCCGATACGAAGTCCCGTTTGCTGTCATCATCTTGATCGTCGCCTCCGGGAGATGAAATGAGCTCGAATTGGGCGGGAATTTCATCTTGCAAAAATGCATGTCAGAATAGCTCAGTTTACCGCACAAATAATTTTAAATAAGTACCGTCGGTCATGCTAGGGGCGTCTGCTTCCGTGAAGCGGTCCTGCGCAGAGATCGCCTGTCGCAGGGGCGTCGGTGTATTTGTCATCGGGGAGGAAACCCGCCCGGAAACGTCCGCGATGCAGTGTTTGATGCGTGGCGCGTTTTCTGAAATGAGGCCTTTAAATCCAACAGCCAGCATTAATTGTACTTAAAAGTGTATGTACTGTGCGTATCGGTAATTTGTAAAGAATTTAAAAATCCGCGTGTAAGTTTTGCAACTCTTAAAATATAACAATTACATTAAGGGTGCGCAAATTTTTAAGGCGCCCGTTTTGGTACCTTTTATGAAATTTCTTTATGGTGCGTGAACTTCTTCGGTTAAATCAACACAGCGTTGAGCCAACGAAGTTAGCGAATAATGAAAGCCTCCTTTGCATGTAATCCCTAAGACGAGGCGCTGTCAGTGGACTTGTCAGCAGAGGAATCCATGACGCCTCGACCCTGTTACAATGCTGCTTGTTGCAGCAAGGGAAATACTACTGGACACCGGTGTGCAAGGCGCAGCCTTACAGGGACTTGAGGATGGCTTGGCGAGCTCGAGGTAAGTTCGAGAGTGAGCTGTCAAGCCCAGTGCGCTCCGTTCGAGTGCCTTCGCCGCTCCTTTCAACCCGTGCGAGT